AGCCGTCAGTTGTAAGCCCTCGGCTGAGTATGTAGTTTGTATCTCAGTTTCTTTGCAAACAATTTACAGTGCAAGACAAGAAGTATCTGTCCGTATTTTCTTCAAATAAAAACTGAAACTTTCTTTCCTATATACTCGTACGATAAGCGCTTTTTGTAATGTGGAAAGGAAACCTTATAGTTATATAGAATTAATGAATTTAAAAAAGCCAAAAAAACCTTAAAAAAGTTATTACAATTTTGCCAAATTTCAAATGGGTACTTCAAAGCGGCGTTTTTTTTTCTAATTCCATCTATTACAGATGAATAAGTTCTGTTCGTATTTTATACACTGCCGTCTAGCATTGAAATCCATTGTCTACATTTTTTTGGAATACGATTTTTTTACACAGCCGTTTACGGATCGAACGTCATCAATTTCTAGTGGAGGTCGTCATCAAACTATATATATATATATATATAGCCTTACAAGCAATTAGAATTCACAATGATTAAAGTAGTTCAAGACTTTAAGACAGCTTACTACAACTACTAAGTGTGACTTTTTATCCTACATTATACATAAAATGTTAAAAACATCGGGTAATATATACCTCGAGATGCCCTTAGACCCAAAGCTCGTTTATGTATAGCTTGCGGAACTTCATACGTGGGCAGAAGCAATATCGGTTACCTATAGGACAGAAATTTAATTCTCTCAGTCTACTCATTAGAAAATGAAGATGTTCTTCTCACTGCAAAACATTCAAAAGGATCTGATGTCGATGTCTCCGTATAACCTGCTTAGCTTCGTGACGCATTTACTCTGCTCGTGCAGAATCAGACCTTGGCAAAAGGTCAGCGTGTGGAGTCTGACTATCTCTAGCGCGCAGCTAACTTGGTTTGCACTCAAATACTGCATGTTCAGTATTTTAACCTTAAATCATTATTGATATCATTGAAGTCATTCATGAGTTCACCCTAAAATGAAATCCACATCTATCATAACATAATTATATCAGTGGTTATCTAACAATTTTCGAAGGAGATGCAACACCATCGGTGTTTCTGATCTATGTAAAAGCAAGATGTTTTCTACTGTAAATTTTTTATTTTTACGAAAATTGTACGGAAATTATTGTTCACTGATTTTAGGTTATTTTAGAAGCTAAAACAGATCATGTCTCTTGCTGATCTAAGAATAGTTAGTTTCTCCTTGGGCTTTCGTTATAGCGCACTTAACATATAGCGTTTAGATATGCTACCCGACGACATACTACCTATAGCAGAGTTACAATGGTAACACTGGGAAATGTTTTACCCAAAACTGGCCGATGTTCCGTTCAGTCATAATTGTACGGTTCCTCTTGCCTCTTCCTATTGTCTCTTTACGAAATGAACACTGCCTACCGAATTCGGACGTTCCCGACTCGCTAAAACCAGTCCTTAGTAAACATCAATGTGAAACAGGCTACATAATAACAGATACCTATCAAGAAGTTGTGCGTATCAACCAGCATTTAATCGGCTTAATTCAATACCGGCAGTTGCTTAAAAAAACAGACAGTATTTTGAAACGAGGACTCTAATCATCCAGTTTATATTTTATTTTCTATAAATGCGCGAAAACAACGCGATGTGACGAAGTTCCCTCTGCATGAGCCTTCGGTTACCAAATGCAGAGTTCGGAAAAGGCTCGTTCTTTCCAAGAAGATAGACTTCCAGAAGAGTTCCATAGTCAACCATATTTAGGAAAACACAGTAGCTACTACGGCAGTGATAAAACGTTCGCGTATCAAAGACTGTAATTTAGTAGAGTAGGTTGGAACTCTTGCCGCTGTATTATATGAATCTTTTGGACTCCATTTACATATTGAGAGTTATTTTAAACCTTCACATCTCTGGCTGTTCCTTTAGCCCAAAAATCGTTGCTGCAAAAAAAAACGTATATTGGAAGGTAAACAACTTTTACGTACAACTTTGACGAGAGGTATAGGCTAACTCTGGTCCCGAAGTGGGAAATATCGCCTCACAAAGCTCTAGTTTTATAGCTGTAAGCCATATATATATATATATATATATATATATATATATATATATATATATATATATGCATGTCTGGTTTAAGCGATCGAAGTTGGGGCGTTCAAGCAATTACTATTTTAATTTTGCAAAATTTTCTGCAATGAGACGTTACGGGCTTCGTTCGAAACACTGACACATACTGAGTAGTATTCAATCCAAACGTACAAAAAATTTTATTGCAAATTTTGGTATGCGTTTACGCAGATAAAATTTGCTTCTGGAGCGGTTTGTAAGTTAGAGATACAACTAGCCAAGTGCCAATTAAATGCTAGGTTCCTAGCATTTTATGTATCGTTGCCGCTAGACTGAGATACAGCTGTATAAGTATAAAAGCTTGGGAATTAAAAAAGTTCGAACCCATTCCATGTATTTAGGAGTAATTGGAATCCTATGTCCGGCTCCTAAAAGCCACATTGGCTAAACAGCTTTAGAACACTGTTTATGCATCTTGACGATTTCGGCAAATGAACACATCTCATCCTTTGTACCGTGTACAAATCGAACCGGGCATAGAACCTGAAAAAGTAACGGCAAAAATTCTATTAAAACGATTAGATAACTGATACTTCCCTTTCAGGTTTGCCAAACATAACGCACATTGCACTTTGCTCGAATTGGCTATATTATCCATTATTTAATCCTCATGTCTGTAGATAGTTGGACATACATTTGACTTAAAACTCGCCTAAGTGTGGTAGGTAGCCAGCTGGTACTAATGAAATAAGTGACTGCTTCTCAAAAAAAAACAACGGAACAAGCATGTATACCTGTTTACTTACATAAGGTACGTTGTCAATATTTCGAAAAGGACCAAGCCCCCACGGATTCACATCGAATGTTGGACGTAGTGCTTTGAAACCGCTTACTATAGCACCCTGTAACACGAGGTTGCAGAACAGGAACCAATACTTATCCGCAGCAACACAATTTGGTCCGGGTTAATGTTGAAATGATCACACACACATGTGCAAGTACAGCTTCAATGTCAAACAACAGAGCCGCTATAAAAAGAAATTGTAAAAAAAAAATGTACATATGAAATGTAGGCTTTCGATTATATTGTCCATCGTGCGGTACATGCATCAGTACGACTTAATGTTTTCCCTGCTGTTATTGTATCACTGTATTACTTTCGTGACCTGTTAAGATGAATCAAGAACGAAGACTTCGGGAGTCCATTTGCTAAACCAGTATATTAAACAGAATGAGGTGCTATCAGCTTATAGCTAATTCATTGTTATTATTTCGATAAGTATGTTTATACTGGGAAGTGAACGTTAATGCAGAGATAACATACGTATTCAAGTTCGTATACGGCCGACAATCATTGTCTCAGATGGTTGGCTTGCAGCAGAAAACGATGTATGTCTCAGACTCGAACCCAAACCAACGACAGCACTCTTACATTTTCAATTTATTGAATCTACTAATAGAAGAGGGCTGGCTTATTCGTCATAGCATACGTTATACAGTATCATTAACGACTTCACTAGAGCTATCGACCGATTTTCCACGACAACGATACAAGTACCACCTAATAACTTACTGTGTTTTCTATAGAAATCGTTTGCTTCGTCCAGACAAGCCATAACCGGTATAATCAAAGTACGGAAGTGAATATGAATGCGGTACCAAGATCGTCAGCGCCTAAATGGCAATATATCACAGTTGCTCGATGATCGCACCTCACCAAGGGCTGCGCCGTTGCAGCTTCCATCTACGTAGAAAATCGACATCAGATGCCTGTATTAAACTTGCACATCTGAGTTTGTACGACAGCTGTTGCAATAGTAAAACTCCACCCAGCACAACAATTATACGAAGTCCTGTTCGATGCTGTAGTTGAATATAGAGATTCCATCTGTAAATGTCTGGGCATTTCTGTTGGCCTCAAGACGTGCGCGCTATAGGGTCATCGAGGCCTGGGTAATTTGATTTGCCTGTCCTATTCCAGAAAACTGGCAAACGCTACATCAATAGATAAATAAATAAAACTAAATCGTTTGCACATAATTATAATCTTATCTAAGGTATAGTCAATAGGATTCGAAAATGCGAATTAAAAAAATCTCACATAGGCCATTTTCAACTTATCACCGACATTCTAAGGCCAACCACCACCTAAATATTGTTGATGTCTTCAGAGAAGCGACCCTCAAGTCCCAAACAACGGATGTCAAATAATTCTAATAAAGTGCAATGAGAAATCTATTCAGTATAGATCGGTTCCTGGAGACATTTACAGGTAGAGAGCATTCCGAGTCCTAACTGTCTGAAAAAAAATCATCCCGTATAATCGAGCGTAATCTCCCGATAGGCCCTCGTAGGAGAGTCGGCATCTGAAATCTCTAATGAAAATGAAAAGTGTGATTACAAATCTTATATTAACCTTTATTAAAGATAGTAATATTGTTATGAGTATTAGTAAGTCGTTCAACCGAACTGAGAGCGCACGCGCATGTAGCTACTAGAAATTTTCAGGCATAGATTCCTAACGGGCACAAACTAATTACAGTAAACGCATCTATCCTTAACAAACGTTATCAGCGGCGATGCTCAGAGGCTTCTTCACTATGAAGGCGTCCAGTGCGTTCAATTCAACGTGATTAGAACCATAACCATTTATTCGCAATCCAAGTTCAGCATTGACATCTTCAACAAGGCGATGGCAAACCTGTTTATAATTTTGTTTCTGTAAATACGTAGTTTTTGCGAAAGCAAGTGGAACTGCTAGGGCTATACGACATGGTAGAAACACAGTGCTAGAGCCTTCTCATCAGCTGTTGTTCGTTCTATCAGGCTATAAGATGGAATATGGCCTTCGTTTTACGGGTTATCCGTCTGTGTAACATTATATGTAACATCTGTATATATATATATATATATATATATACAAATCAATCGTACCCAAAGGCGACTGGTGCGTCGAACGTCGTATGGTAAAAGATCGCTAAATTTAACGCGACTATTATTAGGCGTAGCCTAATAATAGACAGAGGAAAAACGTTTAGTCATCGTTTTGCTTCGACGCGAGAAAGGCTCGGCTCTACAGAACTATCATATCAACTAGTATTAACGGCGGCGTGAAATTATACAAAAAAAAAAAATAAGTTGCGAGAAAAAGTGATAACCTAAAAAAAATTACCATCATCTCGCTTGGCTGTTAATAATATTGAGCTACTGTAATGCATACGATTTTCCAACATACAGATTAAGTTAAAAAAAATCCTAGTTTTGGTATCGACGTTACTTTATTGTCGACTTGCAGTAGTTAATGAATATGAAAACAGGTGTTCGTATACCAGATTCCCCCCTAATAACATGCTACAACGTATTTAGTTCAACTTTATATTATAAGTTATATTGTTATACGTATTTCGTACTGAGCATGCGATACGATGTAAGTTCCTACCTGTTCACCAGTACTATAGTCAAATGGCTATAAGTTCTCGTTACAAATATGTATGTGTGAGTATTTGTCTGTGTATGTTGGTTTCGTACCATTCCGTTGCACAGCAACGTAATCATTGCTAAACATTAAAATTTTATTAAGCCGCTTGCAGAGTTTCAACTTAACGTATCGCAAACAAGACGAAGGAGAGGGCTAGAAAGTTGGGGAGAGGAAAACAATTAGATAAAAGCACCGTTGGAGTGAGGAGGGGGCAAAGGTTGGTTTCTAGCTGGAGCATAAGTTGAGTTTGCTAGATGGTTTTTTCGTTTGTTATAAAATGTTTTTGCTAAACCTATGGATGCGTACAGTCGCATTTTTCAAGGGGTGCTCATCATCAAAATACTTTTTTTTCAATCAAAAAAAAATTTGTTAAAATTTTTTCTTTTTGATTTTTTCCCTGAACTGAATTTTTCATCGCAAAGACGTCGTATAATGTCTTCTCAATTGATCAAGCAAACTACTTTTGGACCTCGGAGTGCAGGTTAGTATGTATTATACCTGGCATAGCTTGACTAAAATATGTGACTAACCGTTAGAAACCGATACAGATAGTTAAACGCTAGCGCAAGACACTCTTAGCCCTTTTGCAGGCTAGTACAGTCTGATAAAAAAAAGTTAGCGGCAAATATTGATGTTGCCGGTTCCAAAGGTGCTTGTTTTCAAAATAAGCTTATAAAATACAATTCACAGCCATCCAAATAAAGTTTCCTAAGTAGAAGTCTGTTTTGAACACCACATTTGCTACTTTCACAGCGAGTCTCTTTGTGACACGAAGTATATGGGCTGTAGGAATTAAGAACCGTGTAAAACGCTATAGCTGGGGATCCATGTTGTTGATTTCTGTCTGAAAATTATTCATTAAAACTCTTATGTATACAATAAAACGCATCAGATGACTGGATGTCATATAGAAACATCTTTACGTTTGAATTTTTTGCACAGGTAAATTCAGTCTTTTGTGCGATCTTGTAAATGTCTCACAGTAACAAACTTTATTGGGTCGCAAACCCGAGCACCCTGATGGAAGTATGTCGTGAGACTTGCTTGAACCAGCGTTTCGACAGCCTATTTAGCTCATAATCTTACCCTTCAACTAGACAAAACAAAACACCTGTACAAAAAAAAACGTCGCGTTGATCATACGAGTACACAGTTGGCTTATTGACAACTATTCGCTTTAGGTTCTAGATAAACAACTAATTAATTTCACTCGAACCGTACGTTTGATGTAGAAGTGTTTTTTAAAATGTTGGCTAGAAGCCTTTTCTAAGTTGTGTTATTTTAAAAAATGTACTAGATCAACCTTTTTAATTACTACTGCTATTATTATGTTAATGACACCGTTTTCCCGGATCAGGTCAGGCTTCATCCTTTCGTTCGTAGATGACTAGCAGTTCGGCTAGTGAAGCAGTCTTTGATTTAAAAAAAATATACTGATTGTTGGTTACTTTAACGTCTGCATAAACTTCCGGATCCTTTGTTCGTACTGATCGTGCTCATTACAGTCACTATGTCCAGCTCCGAGCACCCAAAGAGGCTTTACGGCACGAGGGCACTTTTTGTACATTTCTTTAGCGGCTTTGAAGTCGCAGATTTCATCGTGTGTGCCGTGGACAAAAAGAACCGGACATAGGATCTATAAAACAAAGCCAAACATACACGTTAATTTCAAGGTTTATGTGTACGGTGGGCAAACAGGTTATGCCACATATGTTCCGCGTCCGCTCCATAGAGGGGACCTTGAAAATTCTTAAATATATGATAGACGCAGCATTGCCATATAGTCTAGTTTCAATACGTAAAATAAATGAGCGGATAGTACGACATAAAAGTGAATAACCCAGTATCAGTTTGTGTATATATATGTGTGTGTTTTGTATGGGGCAACGTCGGGTTTCTATCCAAGTAGTACGACAAAATTGCACTCAGTCGCATCAACTATGCCAAAATGGATTTTACGAAAAGGCAGCAGCAGCAGCAGCAGCAGCAGCAGCAGCAGCAGCAGCAGCAGCAGCAGCAGCAGCAGCAGCAGCAGCAGCAGCAGCAGCAGCAGCAGCAGCAGCAGCAGCAGCAGCAGCAGCAGCAGCAGCAGCAGCAGCAGCAGCAGCAGCAGCAGCAGCAGCAGCAGCAGCAGCAGCAGCAGCAGCAGCAGCAGCAGCAGCAGCAGCAGGTTGTTATTAAGATTAAACTAGATACACGTACACATCCTGATTTTCCAGCTCCGTGAATATCAGTCTTTTGCCCACTTCAATAGCTCCCGTGTGAACCTTAAATCCAATTAAAGTACATATCGTTCCATAAATGGTTCAGCACAGAGCAAACGCAAAGTTTTCGACTATCATTTATTTATAACAGATTTGGTAGCGCTCTTCTGTAGGGCATAATTGTAAGGAAATCGCAAGTTTCAGAATAGCAGCAGAGGGAATCTGAGCTGAGGATGTCGTGAAAATTAATATAACGGAAATTCACAATGTCTCAGTTCTACCGACAGTGACCTAGATGTACCTCTGTGCTCTTGTAGCCGGAGTTACGGGATACGGTATTACAGCTACGATAGTTTAACCTACTCCCCGCAAAACAGTTTTTCAGCTTATTATTTACGTATAATAAAAAGAAAGTAAGTTCAAGACGCTAAAGTATGGATACGCGAGAACGATTAGCTAATCTGTTAGGTACGACCGGGCTAATTAGGCTATACATTATATCGTAATAAGTTGAAGCTGATTAATTAACTACGTATTTTGATAGAGTGAAAAGGTTCTAGTTATTTGTCCGCTTACATTCGAAACTCGTTCAATGTTTCGAAAGCAGTCGATCCCAAAGGGGTTTGCGTCGACAAAAGGAAAAAAAACTTTAATTCCCGATGCTAGGGCGCCCTGAAGAATAAGACCGCGCACTTTATAACGGGTCGCTAGATGTATCGATGGAACAGAGCCGATACTTTCTCCGAACAGTATTAGACGGCGCAGATTGGTCTTTAACTGCACACGAACGTGTTGAAAAACGCACTCCGCGTCACACAGGATCTGCGCTGCAGTTAAATATGCATTAGAATAGACAAATAAGTACAACAAGGCTAACTCGACCTCGCTGATTACCTTCTAGTTTTATCTTGTGCATTGACTAGATCCTCTGTATCTGTAGATTGACTCACGATAATATATGGCTCAAAAATCATTTCGTGTGTACTCGGCGTGTGTTAGCTGTGAAGTTACAACACGAGCCTGCTAATTTCAAGCTAGAACTTCGAAATATAAGGTGGCAATTGACAACTGAGGCCAATATAGTGTAAAAGTTATTGAAACGTCATTGTTACCTAATATTAACTACCTAATACATATTCCCGAACATTCCTTTTATATATAGCACCAATACTGTCATTGTCGTAACTTGTACAAAAACAAAATTACAAATACCTTTATGCCAGTTCTACCAATACATAGATACGTCTAAGGTTTTCCTTAGATTGTCTGGGCGGTTGTATGCATAGATTAGGCGCTTTACCTTCACTCGGCTCTCCAAGGTTTTGACCATATCCGGTGTAATCGTAGGAAATAAAGTCACAGAAAAAGGTTTTAGAGAAATCGACTGCATATGGCAGCACGTCAGCTAGATCAACAGCATTTGGATGGCTATAGAAAACGGTAACTCGTGTGTCAGGACTGCGTTGACCTCTTTTTGGCTTGTTTAGCACAGGGCATCTTACACGTAACCCGGCCAGAAGGTTTCCATCTGCAGGACAACGACATGGAACGCCACATATCAGTTGAGCAATGCGTAAACTATATTCAAGCAAGGCTTAATAACGTCGATACTGGATGAAGCCGCATTCATTAAATCAATGACAAAACCTAAGTAAAGCACAATAAAAAAAAGTGTCAACTAATAGTAGTCTTAAATCATTAAGTGGAAGCACTGGTGAACAATAGGCTGTCTGTTTTTGGTATTGTGCACAAGAATTACTGCTCCTTGAACGCGGTAGCCAGGCGCGGACATAGATAGATTTGCGTAGTGCATATAGGTTATTTATTTAATTCATTTTTCAGCTAGTATTTTCCGTTGTCAAAACCTCAGGTTGTTATCGAGTTAGGCCACTTCGCGCACAAACCAGATAGATCTTTCTGAGTTAATCTTAAGAAACGCTTCAGACTTTAGCGTTCTAGATAGACCTATTCTAGGCTATCAAAGTTGTTTCATTGTAAGATATTTCGCTAAATTGGAAGCAATCCATGGGATGTATAATAAAGAACCTGTAGGCCAAAAAGGACTAAAGCTGTTTTACACCATGCTTAACCATGGCGGCTACTACGAGTCCCTTTCGTTCGAACCCTCGGGTGATGGGTGGTAGTGCGATACACATATATGTCAAGCAGTTTGCATAGCAATCCTATTGCTCTTTAAAATCCTCTCGAATAGAAACCTCATCGCTCGGGCCTATACCAGACTCCATGTATGCATGTGAACCTGGATAGTGACTAAAACCTTCTAAAGGTATTGACGGCTACTCTAGAATAACATGAGGTCGTCTACAAATAGGATAGGTGCGCTTTTTATTTCTCTGGGAAATTGCTAGTATTTATACCGCAAAAGTCCACTAACTCTATCGTCTGAAGCACAGCGGCTCATGAAGCCACGTTGAATGCCCTTCATATATATATGTACGCTAGGCTATATATATATATAGCCTAGCGTGTTTTAATTCAACAATAGCAACTTACCAAAATAAGAGAAGAACAATACCAAACGGGCCAAACGTTTGCAATCGACAATGGATAATAATAACAGCTATAAACCAATGAAGTCTCGTTCACCCGTCCATAGTTCACCTACCTTTTTTCTTTACGTTAAAAATCTCGGCTTGTTTGCAACATTCTTCAAAATCCGGGTAGACCCGAAGCAATTTGGGTTTATTGGCCTTTATCCTTAACCCAAACTCTGCTGTTTTATCTTCTACGAGGCAATACTGTGACGGAACTGGTGGATGAAAAGCCAATTTTCGTACTATTGAGGTTCTGCGAAAACGAGTACAAACTCTTATCAGTTGATTAATATCCGAAAAAATATTCGGGGGTCCTTCAAGCATCTGGGGGGGGGGGGAGGGGGTAATCTAGAAGTAAATTACGTCAACATACGGTTTCTAAGTTTGGTATGTATTTTCATGTCTGACATTACTACATCGTGCATTTACTAGATGTGTTAGTTAAACTACATAATTATCGCACTATAATTAAATTTCGACATTTCTGAAAAAATGATATCATATATCTACCTCCTTCGTACCAGTAAATTTGAACGCCCGATGCATTTACCTGGTAGGAGGACAGCAGAAGATTGAGGCGATCTTGCAACAGAAATCTGCAAATCGGGATTTCCTCCTTTTACGTTTTCGGGAATTCACGGGCGGACTCCAAGTGTTTGACAACGTTGGCGTCGGAGTTGACTGAAATGCTCGAGCCGTTGTAAAGAAACGATATTGACTTACGTACACGATGACCCACATTTAACGCCAGTTTCAGTAAGGCAATGTGTTTTTTCAGCCACAGAAACATTCACTTGAGGGAGTATTTTCAGTTTAGTTAGAAATTACTCCTACTTAAGTAATTTGTTTCGAGTCCCACAACGCCACAGCCACTGCAGGAATATCGAAGTTAGACGTTGCAAAAGTAACAGTTTCATACGTTACAGACAAAACCGTAATTTGTACGGCAGCAATAGCATTTCATAATGTTATGACAAATAGGACTATTTGTATAAATGTGTAGAATTCAGGTATATCGTTTTCTGTGTTTTACTGCGGGCTCATCCACTGAACGGAGTGCCGAAAAGCATTCCGTTGGTCTCAGTCTATTTTTTTAATTTTACTTTTTGGCTATCGTCATACATTGGAAAACTCGCTGAGATGATACTGTATCCTGTGAAATTGTTGAACCTTATTATAATTTGTTTTGAATAATAACCAGAATTATTTAAATATTCCAAATTACAGTCTGCTGTGATGATATTGCCTCTTATACTGAATTGAGCGATCCGTACAATTCAACGGATAAGTGCGCCACATTTATGAAATCTGTGCCGATAAAATAGGAAATTTTTGCACAGATACCTGTGCAGTTAAACAAATGGTAGGTGTAGAATGCGTATTTTTAAAATCTTCAATAACTAATTTTAGGAACCAGTTAAATAATAGCATAGCCCTTTGAAAGTACAGCTTTGCTCTACTGTTTCTCGTAGAGGTTGGTTTTAATAACGAAAAAGACACTTAGTTTGAGCCAAGCTATAAGATGCTGCATTTTTTGATGGCATGATTTAAGGTTCCAGTCAATCTGTGCGATGCAGAATAGGCTCTAGTCGGGTCTGGGTAGTACGTTGACAGAGCGAAAGTTTTTCCGTCACACTTTTTCATAATGAACTTTAGGCCAGTGTCTAAATCACGCTGAGGTTCGTCGTTCGTAACTTTCTGAAATGTGTAGTAACCCCCGTCTGAGACTGTCATGCAAATCTTCCAGATGATTGCCAATCAGATTCTATATTTGCGTCGATCCCTTACACCAGCAACAGTCTTCATACCGTATTGTCAAAAGAAAATTGCTCTCCAAAATGGCAAGCGAGATGTGAAGTTAATCAAAGTTACTTACAGGTTATTGAAATTTACGCCATCCCCCAATTATGACGGTCGTGAATGATCAGCCGGTAAGCTTTATTCCTGCTAGGAATACTTAGGGTATAACTCATTCATACTCGTTTTGATACGCTTGATAGGTATAGCTGGCCCCCTTCTCGAATATCACACTCCTCTTGCAGCTGTATTCTATTGATTTTTACCATTTTCGAGACTAGACTCTTAATAATATTAAAAAACAAAAACAAACTATTTCCTTACCGGCGAATTTACACCTTCTGGTACTTTGTTTCCCATCTTCTCGTACTCTAACATTTTCATGCGATTTCGAACATTCAGCAGACTATTCGAAGCTCGTTGGATGATTGTTTGTAAACGTCTTCTGACGCGTTCCTCTTTGCGATTGACTCTCGGCAATTGGTCTGTTTACCAATCTAACTTAGAAATACTTACCGCGGCCACGTGTGTTATCAATAAACAGCTATTTGATCGTTTCATTGTTGACGGTCAAATGTTGCCTAGACATATTTGAGTACCAAACAATCTCAATAGCGTATCTTTGACAGAGGCGACCTAGCAATTTTTTTTTTTAGCAGAAGTAGCAACAATCAGTTTTCAGCGTTTTTTTTTTTTTTTCACTTTTCACGGTAACACTTGAAAAACTAATTAACCTATATGGTAACGGCCTCTTGACTCGATTTACAATGTATTTAAAGTTTGACAGCGTTACGAAAATGGCTATCGTTTCTATTTATACGCGTTTCAAAATAGATATTGGTACTGAGTTATTCAGATAACGAATCTGCGGACGGCACGCGCTGGTTTGAGCTGGGGTACAGTTACTTTATAAATAAACAGATATTAAATAGAAAGGAGGAGATTGTAACTGATATTTACACAGCACGTTTATTATAGTCATATCTGCCTGAAGATTAAACGGTTTTTTCTTCCTTTTTAACGCTGAGCCGGTTTGTACACTTGAACGCGTTGGCAAAACGGCGGAGTTCATTATATAGAGGCCAAGTAGATTTTTATTGGCCAAGGATTGATCTTTATTTCTTTATACAATCATTTTAGTCTTATTGCTCAGAGATTAGAGTGGATTACGTTCTTTATTGCTCATTGTTTTGAAGTGTGTGCTCTTCAAGTCTAGGTAGGTCCGTAAGAGCGGCAAGGGCCGATTGTCTGTCATGAAACAACCGGCCCTTGCCGCTTTATAACGAAGGTATTTAGCTAGCTTTAAATGTGCCCTGGAAGTAAGCAGATGGAACATAACCTACATTTGTAAGTTGACTTGTATTGGAATTTGTAAGTTGGCGAAACTTGCAATTTTTAAGTTTGCTATAAAGAGCATCCTCGATACACAGAACGTTGTTGATAAGTCTAAGAGGCCTGTGTATTTATATGCCTTACGGTGTATAAAGTTACGAAATGTGTAGTGAACAATCCGAGTGTCTCTTTCGGGACCGGAGACAATTATTAAGTTTTCTAATAATGTTATTACATTAACACATAGTTTTCTGCATGTACAAGCCGGGATTTATTTATTCTGAACAGTTAGGCTTGTATGTGCAGTTAGTTCCATTACGGGTTACACAAGATAAACAACACTCCCTATATAAATTACTATTGTTTCATTATATATTTTCTATATATATTGTATAGTTGTATTGTATTTTATTTTTGTTTAGTTAACGTTCGTCACAAGGTTTTTTTACACATACGTTTACATATCAGATAAAAAAGTTCAGCTTCGATATTTCTCATGTATAACTAGAACTAATGCTGCAAGTAGACAAACGAAATTTACTTAAAATCAACACGATGTAAATAGGAGAGGATCTTAGAACCCCACATAAAAATAGGGTACATTACTGAGGGGTTTGCGAGTACGGCACAGAACAAATGCCATCAATAATACCTAATTAGGGTGAGGGACACAATTTCAATGCGACCTAATATATTAACGATTCGATAAATCTTCTCTGGGAACGAGCGCGTTTAGCATGACAAATTGGGATCGATGCTGATCTTACGATGTTACCACATCATTCACAACGATGTTATGAAACTGTGCCGGTTCCACACGTCAAGAAAATGGCAGTACAGCCTTCTGCTATAGCATAAATGGTAGATTGTATCTGCGATGGGTGGCGTCGTCTCTGCTAACCTGGCGGATTCGTCAAAGTTAAGCCGTCGATTCTCCTAGCGTCGAATTTGGCGACGACACGCTGCATTTTATGGGTCACTTAAGATCATGTGGCCAGTAAACTGCAGTTGCTCAGAGATGGATACCAGCTCATTTGATGCTATGGATCCGCCCGATTAAATACGCAGAAAGACTTGTGATGCAACGCTTGAAAAGTACTTATATATTTATTATAGTTATATTATAGAAGCTTGAATTATGCTTTGTTTCTATGGAAACTCTATGACTTGATGTAGGAATGATATTGGAGAACGAGAAATAGTGTTTTGTTTTATTGACTACAACAACAGATGTCAGAGAAGTATGTTGGATTGCCAAAGTGACCTTTCGAATTGATGAGACTCGGCATATGAAAAATTTCTAAGTTAACATTGATTTACGTGTTACTAAAGAATAACATAGGTTAATTGTGTGAGCGGCCACTGAAAGTAGTCGCGAGTAGATTGTAAGCGTGCACGGTACTTTTCAGACTGAGCGTATCAATAGCTATTTTACTATTTGGTATCTGTGATATGTGGGTTATATAGAATTTGTTATTTTTACGTGTTAATCTGTATAAACTTTGTCTAACAGCGCAGTTATCTTGGAAAATTTGATGTTGAATACTGAGTCGCTTTGTGGTAAATGCTTTATCAAGCGACTTTTATTCTATCAATCAGCAGAAAGCAATTACTGCCGTCGTTTTAGCCCGGTCGCTACGACCGAGCTATCCATATGAGTAAGTACATCCGGTGACCTTTTAACATAGGTACCACTACCAGTGGTACTTGGTCAAGTAACACATAGCATCTATAATTCGTTTAAACGCAACAAAGCTCTTGCAAAATTGATATACTTGTAATAGTTCAAGTGGTCGTTACGCCCCCATACGCTCAGACAAGCATGCTTACCCTGTACAACGTCGTAGGCGATGCCGTCGACAATGAGACTTCCCGATTTGCACAGACCAACCCAAGCAGCTGCTCACTAAATTTCCATAAATATAAAAATAAATATAAATATAATAATACATTAAGCGTAGACATAACTGCGACATGTTTCACGGCCAAAGTCTACCTCTTAAGCTTCTGCTCGGGATTTCTACTTAGGATCATAGCCAGACATGTGAGAAGATCACGAAAATTTACCACTAAATTTATTACTTGTATCATCTACGTCGATAATGCACAATACACGCTCCTGAAATCGCTGGGCCGCACCCAGTTTTTCTACGAGTTCCGCGCCCGTACGACCGTCGGGATAGCGGAAGCAAACAGTGCGGCACCACTTCAAAATGTTATCTTCAGAGAACGCGCTAAAATCGGCTAATTCCGTTACGGACACGTTCAGAACTGCCGTTGATGTGTAGAACAGGCTTTTGGATTAATTCCTGACCCATTACTATGGTCTAGATTGCTAAGCTAGAGCAGTGCTGAGTTTCGTATGGTGCTTACCAGAATGTAGAAGTGACTCAAGAATCGATTTGAACCTTTATTATTATTTAGCAACCTATAGTTCCCCGTTAAATATACATACTTACGACTCACGTAGTTGTATGGTAACTCTTGATTGATCGAATCCCCATGAGCCAAGTAGCATCAAAAAGGTAAGCACCAGGTCTACCAGATTCGAATAATCGATCCTCGAATCGACGAGGCTTTAACTTCATAATACGTCTCTTCACTCTGCTATGTAACGTTTTCGAAGTATGTACATCATTTCGATACAACAACGAGACAACTGCGAATTATTCCATAGAACGGACATTGCACATCTGCGCAAGTTTTAAGCACATCAACAGATATGGGTAAAATTTTTTGCCGGACAAAGGCAACTCAAGAAACGTACACGGAGCTGATACGTCCTATCGGCTCCGATCGAACAAGTAAGTGTAAGTTTGTTTATAGAGAACGACAGAAAGACAAAGGTCAACTCGTGTCTTCTTTTGTACTAGTACCATTGGCGCGTTTCCTAACGCAATCACAATGTAAACTGGACAGTTCCGAAGCCTCCACACGCACGCATACGCACAGATAGACATATACACCTACCCGAACACCGACGAATATCATTTAGTTCCATTGTACAGCGATGCTGTGCCTATTGTAGTTGTTCGATATTAAGTGAACTAGTCGTTTGAGCGCCTCCCAGCTACCCATACGGGGCGCGTATATTTGAAATCACTGGAGTCAATGTAATATCCCTTTTTAGCAACCATTAACGGCTACTGTTGCTGTCGCCTCGTCGTTGGTCAAACGTATGAAGATGCTGGGACGGACCGCTTACGCCAGGTCGTGCTAGGAGCATTTGTCTCCAGTAACGTCTCGGCCTTCCCCAGCACGGGAAGCCGGTGATTCAAGATAATCACCATTATTATTATTTATGTTATATCATTAGAGCCAATGCATTGTAGTCAAGTGTTTTAGTCCAAGTTGAAGCTAGGCCGCATAATTAGAGTGCTTCCTTTCCCTTTTGTGTTACGTGAAATTGCGTGCATGGAACGCTTGTGACACTGCTAGCACGTCTCGGGCTGAGTAAATGGCAGTAACAAATCGTTACGCTTCGAACGTTTGTGGCGTCTGTGGGGTAGAACAGAGATATAACGCGTGAGGTTCGCTGAACCCGTACTATTATGCGAGAATACAGAAGTTACTATAACGTAAAACTTGTCTATGTTTACAAGGCCGCGCTAATCTTTTACGTCTCATCGCATTTTTGGCATAATTCTTGAGTTACCGTGTCATAACCCTGCAAATTATGTTTCTTAAAGGTCCCAGAATGCAACATAGACACAATATTGTATCTATAAGAAGTCAACGTATTGATGGTCTATGAAATGCGTGCGATTTTGAAAGCCCAATGTCTGTGAATCTTATTCAAAAAAGATCCATCACTCTCAACCTGAAAGATCTCTAGCAGCTACCGTAACTGTACCTTTCCAATTACTAATTAAACATTTTCCTATCGAAACTCATCGATCATAGCTGAAATTTATCTACGAGTGGTAAGCACATAGCAGATACTTAAAGCTGTAACATGTTCCAACTATTTTATTTATTTTAATGATTTTGTTCTATATATATATATATATATAAAGGCTATAGCGAGTTATAGTCGAATGTATTGCAAAAAAAAAAACATAAAACGATGTTTTTTAGGAGCACTGTGCACAAAAGAGATGCGCCTAGTCGCCAATTGGAAATGCTCGATGTATATTGTGATCAAACACACAGACATTGCAATAGTTTGGCTATTCTAGGACAAGGACCTAAGATTTCAGGACTGTCGAACTTTACAAGCTAATCATGACCATATTGGTAACGCTTTTTACTAAACTCAGACTTTTCTGTAGTTTAAGATTAG